ATACCTTATTAATTTGTTTGATTTCTTTTAACTCTTTTATAAGCTATGAAACACTGAACAGCTGTATTTATAGGGAATGGGGTGGATGGGGGGTGGGTGGAGTGGCTCCTGGTTTACTGAATTAGCCATATCTGGTTAGGTTAACTTTGGTGTGTGCCACATTATCTGAATTCCCATGATTGCTAAGTCACCCACAAGCAAGCAGCATTTTAACTGAGCGTCCTGTGTGATTATTTTTTTTCCAAAATACATTTTCTTCCTCATCTTTTACTTAATCCACACACCATAGATTTCAGGTCAGATGATTAGCTTTTTGTCTGTGTGTGTCTGTTTTTGTGAGCTGGCATCCTGTAACCCAGAAGTCTCCAACCTTGGCAACTTTAAGACTTGTGGACTTCAATTCCCAGAATTCTCCAGCCAGCTGGAGAATTCTGGGAGTTGAAGTCCACAAGTCTTAAAGTTGCCAAGGTTGGAGACCTCTGCAACCCACTTAGCTAAAAAATAAACCTCACGGAATCCAATAATGTTTTCTCTGGATGGATCGGCTTCTATGCGCACAGGAGCATAAGCCAATGTCCTCTTTGTTACAAACTTCCCCCAGTTAGGAAAGTAGAAAATGTGATGTGGGGTGTGTGTGTGTGTGTGTACCCACAGAGACATTCAGATTCCTCACATGCAATTGCCCAAAATATGCGGGGACTCTTCTAATACAATCTATCCCTGTCAGTCTAATTATCTTGCTTTCTCCTTTATTGCGTCATCTGGTGCAGAGACACGAAGATCTGCTCTGCTCCAGCTTATCGGGGGAAAAACCGATTGCAAGACTTGGCCTTTGGTCTTGAGGGCGGCAATGAGGGGGAGTGTTGGTGTTAGAAGAAAGCCCTAAGGTCTCCACGCCCCACATTTCTTTCAGCAAGTAAAACAAATTGCCTTGCTTTCTTCTCTCTCTTTTCCTTTCTTCCTGAACTACATTCTGATGGGCAGCTTCTGAATGAGCGATTACTTTTATTCCTTGGTGGGATAGATGTAGAACCTGATTCTTTACCTGTACTTGTTTGGAAGTGCTCTGGATTTGCTCCCACCCAGGAAATAAGACACGGTGCAAATGCATTTTCTTTGGTCTCTGGGCTTTAGGTTCCCAACAAGACCCCTTCTTGAAACAACAATACTTTTCTCTTTCAAGTGTTTTGCTCAGTGGGCCGTGCACTCTGTCCCACTGTGTAGGGAACTCCAAATCTGATTTAAATAAGCGGGACAGTTTGCAAGCATTTCACTTTCGTAAACAATCATCTGCTGTGAAGGTTGTTCTCCGCTGGATTTAGATCGCACTTTTCTGCCCAGTGATAATAAGTCAATATATTTAGGAAGGGGGAGTTTCCAACAGCACCTAAACATGTGTAAGAACCCTTCATTGTTCAGTTAAAAAAGCTAAAGGAGGAGGAAAAACCGAGTAGAAAAAGGATAAAAGTTGTAATTGGTGTTTCAGTCTGGTCTGCCTGTGACAAGCATGAGAGATTTTGCTTTTCATAATTTTGAAGGCATTGTGGGGACACTCATGACATTTCATCATTAAAATGTGGCTGGTGGATAGCAATTCTTAGGAATCTGATGGTTTTTATGTACACTAAGGACAGGCAAACCCTAATCCTAATCCATCAAATGTTTTGGACTTCAGCCTCCAAAAGGTGGGTTGGTCAGCTGTTGTGTTATATAGAAAGCAAAAGTTGCGGTTGCTAATTTTATTTCTTCCTCTGGTTGTCTTTCCTTCCTGATTATGTGGTCAGGTAGATTCTATTTCCACTTAAAGTAACTTACCTCAATTCCCCCTCCAGATGTGTAGGACCTCAACTCCCATCCATCCCGACAAGTTAACTAAGAATGAAAGTAGTGGGTGTCCTGCATATCTGGAAAGTAAGAGGAAGAGCTGACTTAAATCTATACATGCCCCTTTCTGCTGCAGGCTGAAGTGCCTTTTTGACTAGGCTCAACCATTTCCCCCAAGAATTGTAGTTTGATGAAACTGCCCAGCAGCATTCTTTAGAAAACGACAGTATCAGAGCGTGTTTTTTTTTTGGGGGGGGGGGAGAAGCCACAAGGTGGACACCCTAAAACATCCCCAGGGAAAATCCTGAAGGTTTAACCCAGAACTCTGTTGGCATAAGAGCCTTGAGCAAGAGAGAAAATACTTTTTCTCACAACATATTAGTTTGTTTAGTTTCAGCCAATGGCTTTAGCACGTTATGTGAATCCAGCTCCCTTAATTATTTAATTATTATTGCCTAAAGTCAGAAAAAGCATCCTTTATCCAGAAACAAAGCATGTTGTGAGAATGCAGGCTCGGAGCAGCAAAGAAAGTTGTAGCAAATTAAACTTTTTGAGTGGAGGCATCTGGAAGCCAGAAGTCTCCCATTACCATCGAGTGGCTCCCAGTAGAAATTCAGCACTAGGTTATATAGTCTGGGTTATGACTTCACCTTCTGTGTGTGCTAGCCTTATTTATCATGATCAAGCATGGCTGAATACAGGCAGTATAGATGGACCAATCTTGCTTTCCCCAGAGTCTCAAATTCCTTCCTCAAACCATTGCCCTCCAGATGGCTGGCAAACCATAACGGAACTTGAATTCCTACATATCTGCAGGACACTAGGCTTGAGGTAGTGCTCTAGATAGCAGTGGAACTTATATACAGCTTCACAGTGCTTTCCAGCTCTCTCTAAGCGGTTTTACAGAGTCAGCCTATTGTCCCCAACAATCTGGGTCCTCATTTTACCCACCTCGGAAGGATGGAAGGCTGAGTCAACTTTGAGCCTGGTGGGATTTGATCTGCCAAATTGCAGGCAGCCAGCAGTCAGCAGAAGTAGCCTGCAGTACTGCACTCTAACCACTGCGCCACCACAGCTCTTTAGAACGAGTTTTTCAATTTTCAGTTTTGTAATTTCCCCAACCCAATTTCCCCAACCCAATTATCTTATGTAATGCTTCTTATTAGTATTTAAAAAGAAAACAGGTTCAGAAAAGTAGCAACAGTAAAGAAAAGCAATCTAAGGACTGTGACCAGCAGGTCTTGGAACCAAGGTTTTTTTTTGGTGTCTCCAGCTCTTTGGCATCTGGTATCACATGATTCTTCATTGAAATAAAAGTAATTCCCAGCTTTCTTCATTCAAACAACCGTTCATCAGAGCAGCCCTCTTAAAACTTGTAGAGGCTTTTATTGTCTGCATATTGTCAATATGTTTGCTTAAAATTGCAGGTAGCCTTTATTTGACCCAAAAGGAAGATTATTGTTGTGTCCAATGTGAGTTTATCTATATTTAAAAAAAAAAATCTCTAAAAAAAAAAAAATCAAAGCTGAGAAGATACTCCCTTTTCAACCAATA